CGGGTGGCTGGCGCTCTGAGTGGGTGACAGGTAGAAAGGGCGAGCAGAAGGCGTCGGAGAAGTATCCAGACGCCTTCTGCTCGCAGGTGGCCGCCCTCGCGCTGGATCAGCGCCCTGCCTCGTCCTCGTCGTAAATGGCGCCGCGAGAAGGGGGGTGCAGAAGAGAAGGGCAAGGATCGGGAGAAGGATATCCTTCTCCCGCTCCTTGCGGGAGCGGGAGAAGGATATCCTTCTCCCGCTCCCTGAGGAGAAGAATCAACAAAGCACGCAACGCACGTAACATGTCCTCGGGGACCGCCGCGAAGATTCCCGAGGGCCATGATCCACATGACACTTCGAGGGATCACGAGGAGAACGACGAGGAGGATCATGAGGAGGATGATGGTGAGGAGGAGGAAGAGGAGGAAAATGATAATGAGGAGGGCGAGGAGGATGAGGAAGAGGAGGGACAAACGGAGGAGGAGGAGAAGGATAAGGAGGAGGAGGAAAAGGAGGATGACGGTGGCTGATATCCATAGTTCACGGGTGTTTCAGCAGCGCGGTTCTCACAACAGGTTGTGCACGTGCTATTTACTTTGTGACATCCTCAAGTTACAAATGCGTCTTGAAGGTTTATCTTGTTTGTACATGCAGATGTGCTCGTCCATGCCAAGTGTTCTCTTGGAAGAGCTTGCGTATCCGAAAGTTCTACGCAGCGCTTTCAAGATGCGACGCGAGTGTATGGCATGCGATTGAATGAAAAAAGCATGTGTTTCATGTGTGTGCGCTCTTATTATAAGATCTTATGTTATTATATAACTAACACGTTCTTAAAATAAGATCTAACAGACCCCGGGGAACAAAACCACCACGACGGGCCTCTTCCACAGCTGCGGGCCGTGGGAGGTCGCTCGCGGACCGACTCGGGCCGAGGAGTGCCACAGAGAGGTGGGGCCGAGGGCCCCAGCGGTGACGTTTCACGTCGTGCACTTTCCCCGAGCTCGAACCTCTGGAAAGGCTGCTGCGCGATTGGAAGCGCCACATGGAAGAGGGCATCGATCGCCCGAGGCCACATCGGCGAATGCACTTTTCTGGAAGCCTCCCACAAAGGGCCGGAGTATCTGATGCATCGTCGATGCACCTGCGACGTCGGAGAGGTGAACATCGGGCACCGGGTCGCGCCGAGTCGCCGAAGCATTGACGATTTGGCGCGATCCCTTGAAATCCTCCGACCCCGTCTGCTCTGGCCCCACTTACTTGGCCGACTACTCTGGACCTCTTAAGGCTTCCCAGGAGCCCCAACTCGTCAAACAATACGTCGATCCTCAATACTTGATTCTCAGGAGGGCTGGCGAACCTCCCCCACGCATTGCCTGAGATTCACGGCGATTCGTGATGGTCCGTCCCAGAAATGTCCGATGACTTGTTTTTTTCAGTGCGGGGTCGCGGGAAGTCCCGACGCTTTCCTTACGACCAACTTGTCATCCTGAGTCGATGTTTGAAGGCCCTGGGGCCCAGCGAGAGCCACGGTCGGCCGACAACAGCAAGACAACTCCGTGCTGAAATGTCCCAGACGTTGGAGGACTGGGGTGGCCGACTCGTGGCGACCTCGCCTCCTCGACGCCCCGGAACGGCCCGGGCCGGCCATATCTGAAACAGGGCTAGGATCGGGATACATCGCTCCAGAGCGTTCCAGAGCGCTCTCAGAGCGTTCCGGAACGCTCTGGAGCGGCCGCGGCGCCCCATACAGTCTCCAGACCCGCCGATTCTCAGAGATTTCGAGTTATCCCGATCCGCATTGGCACTGGAGATCCAGGGCCATGTGGCGTGGTGGGCGCTGGCGTAGACCCGCCGCCGCGGGCAGTCTTGACGTGGCAATGGGCGGGCAGCCTGGCAGGGGGTGGGTCTTTTGAGATCGTGTGGCCGCGGGTCCGGCTAGAGGCCGCGCTCGCTGGATCGCATCGCCGGCCGTGTTCGCCAGAGTACATGCGCTCCCTGGCTGGGGGGAGTGAGCAGCTGTCCTTGGTAACCATGTCGCCGCACCGTGTTGGATTCGCCCAGTTTGGACATTGTCCCCATCTTCGCGTCGTTTTCACATCGGCGCGGAGCCGCCCTCGCGTCGACGCGGCCCAGACGGGACGCACCACACAACGCCAGTGCGCGCCTCGGGCCGCAGCGGACTGCCGCTCGGGCCGGCTGGGGGGGGGGGAAAAAATACAAAAAAACGCAAAACCAGCACAAGCACGTGTGTGTTTTTTGGTGTTTTTTCCCCCACTGTGTGTGTTTTTCCCCTCTGTGTGTGTTTTTCCCCACAGCCGTGTGACTCTTCACCTCTGTTTTTTCCCAACAACATGTGTGTGTGTGTGTGGGTGTGTTTTTCCCCTCTGTGTGTTTTTCCCCTCTGTTTTTGGTGTTTTTTTCCCCCACTGTGTGTGTGTTTTTCCCCCACGGTGTGTTTTTTCCCCCACAGAATCGGCACCGCCTCGCATCGATCCGGATGGGCACGGACCGAGGCCGGCGCGCGCCCGCCCGGCCGCCGCCGCGCACCAGCAGCGCGTCGCAGGCCGCGGCCAGGCAGGGCGGCTCGGAGGGCGAGCGCTCCGCCAGGGCCTCGAGCAGCTCCGGCTCCTCCGGCGGGCTCCTCCTCCTCCTGCTCCGAAGGTTTCGGCTGCACGTAAGAGTGACCCTGGGTAAGAGTGACCTTTGGTGCGCGGCTTGTTCGGGGGCGCGAGGAGGCCAAACACAAGCGCGCAAGACGCTAATATCGCAACGAGCGCGGCGATCGGGGGACCCCAGTGAGCGCGCACCAAAGGTCACTCCGGCGAAAGGTCACTCTTACGTGTAGTTGAAGGTTGAGGATCGAGGATCCAGGACTCCTGAAATCTGGGCGTCGCCCGGATCGTCGGTTTTCGGGCCCTGGTGCCCTCGCAGACCGTCTTCCGATCCGTTTCGGTCCCCCCTGGGCGGGAGGATCGAAGCTTGCGGGGCGTCCTCAGCCCTTTTGGGGCCACCTGGGCCGCCCTCGTTGCCACGGCTGGATCCGCCCCGGGACTCTTGCCAGAGCCCTGCCCTGGAGAGGCCTTGAGATTTGTCTTCCTTGGATCGCCGTGGCGGAAAGGGGTCCTCAGGGAAACGGGGCCCTGATGAGCTTTCGCTGTGTTCTGCCTCCACGGATCCCAGCACCATTGAAAACGACGTAGGATGGAAAGCTGCACTCAGGATGAGTGGGGTGCAACATCTACGGGCAATCTACGGCGTGCAATTCGTTTTGAAGAACCTGGAGCCGCCAGCGCTGATGCTCGAACAAACACCCCCACCCACGCATCCAAAACTTGTTGCCAAAACCCAACTGGCGCAATGACGCGAGGGCCCTTATCATGCAGATCCATGGCAGAGGCGGGCAAATGATAATGGTGGCGACGACATTGGCAACGACGACGATAATGGTGGCGATGATGACGGGGGCCATGACAACAACGATGACGATGGCGACGGTGGTGATGGCGACGACGATGGTGGTGGTGAAGACCGCCATGGTGATGATGATGACGATGGCGACCATGACGCTGGCGACCACGACAATGATGATGATGCTGCTGCTGCTGCTGATGATGATGATGATGATGAACATGATGCTGGTGATTGATTAGGACGATGAGGAGGAAATGCGCGCGCAGAACCCCCGACATTTTTGTCATTTTGACATGTGATTGGCCTCGTGTGTTTTGATCGCCTGGTTCTTATCGAAATTCTTGGGAAACCACTTGCTTGTACTGGCATCGGCAGGCGCACGCGAGGACGCACGCGTGTCGCCCACATTGCATTATTCGTCAGAATTGGCGTGTGCACGGATGTAATACACGAAAGCATCTGCGACTGTGAACCGTTAAGCCTGGCCTCAGCATGGGGCTAGATCCTATTCGGTTTTACAAAACAGAACCTGTGGGATGAGCAATCGAGGTGGTGCAATAGATGCGATGCAATCTGTGTGGTGCAAGCTATGTCGTGGAAATGGTATTGCAATGCGTGTGGTGCATAGACGTATATATACATGCACATGCATAGGTGCATATGTCCATATAGTTGCCCCCAGGTTGTCATGCATGTTAGCTTGTGCTCGGTGATTCCCACTTCTCCTCTTCTTGCGTCGCCACCCTCACACTCCTTCGACCTTCTGCATTCATTCTCGTTGCTCGCCTCCGCCGCCCCTGCTCTTCGTATGCTTCGTATTTCTGCAGCTCCTGCTACGGATCCTATTGCAATCGGCAGTCGAGCTTTCAGTACAGCGCGCAGTCTAGCTCCTACTACAAGCTGCACTACAGCCAATAGTACAGTTTATACTAGAATTCACCATGCAGCTCCTACCTCAGCTATTGCACATACCCTGCTACTGCGTCTTTTGCAGCTCCCCTTCACCTCCCACTGCACTTCCCACGGCAATTCCTATCACAACCATTAACGCAACTCGTACTACATCTCCTTCGCCAATTCCTTCTACAGTTCAGTAGAGCTTTCAGTACAGCTTCTACTCCAATCCGTATCACAACCAATCGTACAACTTGCCAATCGTACAACCCCCACTAGAACCCGTGCGAAACTCCCTGGTGGTGCCAGCAGTACAAGTCCCACCGCCGTCATACACCAACTCTTTCTATACGTTATACTGGCTACAAGAACTACGACGGCGTCTAATGCAATTTCCACCGAAACTCCAACGACGGTTAAACTTACACCTCCAAACGCACCTCCGAATACGTAACTCGTGCTGCAACTCCCTCTGCAACAATCCGGTTCCCACTGCAGCTCCTACTACATAGTCTACACCACATATTACTACAGCTCCTTCAGCCTGCTCGTGGGCAGCTAATCGCCCAGCTCTCGCTATCGTACTAGAGCCAATACAACTTTTCCCATTGCAGCTCTTACTTCAACCTCCCCATATCAGTTCCTAGACGAGACCATACTGCATCTCCGATGACGGCGAATAGTACAGCGCCCCCCGCAAATCTCACAACAACCGTTAGATCAGCTCTACGGCAAGTCCTACTACGAACCCTGCAGCTGATGGTCGAACAATGTTCTCTGCAACTCGTACCATAATTCATACTACATGCCATATTTTAACCCGTTTTGCAACTGCCGCATCTTTCACTACAACTCATGCCACATATCTTTCAACAACTCCTACGGTCAATTCTTTGACAACGTTGCTGCACATGTCACGGTGACTGCAAACCTTGCCGCAACCAGGGCGACAGCTCCCGCTACAGCTCCCCTTTCAACTTTCACTACAGCACTTACCACGACTCCTACTGCAGCTCCTCGAACGGTTCACATTGCAGCTGGCACCACAACTTTCACAACAGCTCCTGCTACAACCTCGGCTACAACACATGCTACACATTCTCCTACATCGATGCCACTTCAAGTCTTGTTACATTTCCCACATCCAATGTTGATCCTACGCGAACTTCCGACACGGATGTTGCGAACGCGCCAGCTACACATGACATTGTAACCATTCGTACAAACACCAGTGCAGAGTTCAACACGTGTCGCACTGTAGCTCCACATTCGAATCGTAATTCGACCAGTAGTCCAATCCTCACTGTAGCTGCGACTATAACGTATACTGCATATGTTTATGCAACGCGTACTGCAGCTCTTTGGTACAACCACTAGAACAGCTCCCGTTGCAGCCTCTATCGCAACGAAGAATGTATTTCCCACTGCAGTTCTTATATTGCCCCCCCACTCCAACTCCCACGCAAGGTCACAAACCAACTCCGATTACACCAAGTAGTAGCTGCTCCCTCTACAGCTATCACTACAGCTCCGACTGCAACCCCTACAGCACCTCCAGGCACCTATTTTGATTGCAGCTCCAACACCAGCTCCGTGACACAGCCACCAATGCAGCTCTCATTGCAATGTTTGCTACAGCTCTTGCGACAGTTCATTGCACACGCCTACTACAAGTCCTGTTCAGCTCTTAATGTAATATACGCAACAGCCAGAAGTAACGATTTGAACACTGTTCCTGTGAACGCCTACGCTCAACTTTCAATTGCGGCTCGTAGTACAAATGGCAATGCAGCTGCTAAGGCATCTCCCGCTGTAGCTCCCAACCCCGTCTTTTCGTGCAGCCAGTAGTACAGCTCCCACTGCAATTCTTACTACAATGTTTACTACTGCATATCTTCATGCATTCCCACGACAGTTCCCTGACACAGCCATCAAGACAGCTCCTATCGCAGATCCTACCATCATCGGCGGCACAGTTCTCATTCCACATCTTACTAGTGGCTCCAACTAGAGCTCAGGACTTACCAGAGTTCTTACTGTAGCCAATACTACAACATCCATGAGATCTTTGGCCGCACGTCTTAGAACAGTTATGACTACACTGGGTACTAAAGCTCATACTTCGAATTGCAGAACAGCAAGTAACACAGCTCCCTCTACATCTGGGTACTGCAGCTTATACTGCAACTCATACTATACTTCCTGGGGCGAGGGGGGAGACGACGAGACTTGCCAGGAGGAGGGCAGAGCAGAGAATAGGGAGGAGGACGAGGAAGAGGAGGAAGAGGAGGGGGAGGACGCGGGGGATGATGAGGACGAGGAAAAGGAGGGGGAAAGGACGAGGAAGAGGGGCGAGAATAATGATGCGACTGGTGAGGGGGGCGATGGCGAAAACGACAAATGGTTACCCCTCCTGTTCGCCGTCCTCGTCTGGTTCCTCTTCCTCCTCTTCCTCCCCCCTCATCCTCACCATCCTCCCTCCCGTCTAGCGAAGCCCAAGTACCACACACCACTGCTTTTCACATGCTTTCTGTTTCGCACGCAAGGACAACAACAACTTGGTCAACAATGAGATCAGCTGTGCTGGGAATAGTGGGGGGAGGGCAGAAGGTGGTGGGAGGAGAGGGAGGCATAGGAGGGAAAAGAGGGAGGGAGAGGGAGAGAAAGACATACATATTGAAACAAGAAAGGAGAGAGGGAGGCAGAGAGAGAGAGAGGCAGAGAGGCGCGGCATCTGAGAACCACGTTGTTTTTAGGTTTACCAACTCCTGCAACTTGTTCAAATCTTCGGGAGCACTCGAAAACGGTTTTCAACATTTTCCTAATACGTTATCCAATCTGCGAGGTCTCTACACGAAATTTGAAAATCATGAAACACTGGACGCACTGAATAAGAAAAAACGCGCACACACACGTGCACAATTGTAGTGCGTCGGACAGTCTAGTACACATAGTGTTTCTTCGAACAAGAATCGGACAGATATTACTCATCTTGTGCACTCCCTGCAGGAAATCTGAAGCATCGGAAAATGACAAAACATGAAAACATAGCGTTGCAATGATTCAGGAAATCTGAACAATTTGAGAATATGAAAACACATGGGTCTCAATTGCAGGATTTGTAAAACATGGAAAGCACAATGGTTGTCAGATGCCGCGCCGCTTCCTCCTCTGCTCCTCCTCCTCCTCCTTCTCCAACAAACTGAGGGCGAGGAGGAGGAGCCTGAAACAGAGGAGGAGGAGGAGGAGGAGGAGGAAACGCAAGAGGAGACTGAGAATGAAGAGTCGGAGCCGGCATGAATGATCCTTTGTCAGTGTGGTGG